TTGTTCAGAATCGTCTCAGCTACCCCCCATTTCCGGCTCCTCTCCGAGTTTTGGGACACCCTGTATAACATATACGTTACATGAACATATTAACATATTCCTTAACATCTTAATGCGCCTTTTTTTAGATAGATTAACTTAAAACTAGTTCGTATAGCGTCTGCGTGCTTACATTATTTTAATGAAATGAAATGAAATGATAATAATAATAATTATTTAATTTATCACTTCCTCGAAATTAAAAATAAATACTTTACTTTTACAATCAATAATAATAATCGGAACTTTATTGAGTTCATACGGGTACCATCGCGTATACACTGCGTTTATCATGCTTTGTCATCCAATATTAGGAGGACCGAAAATTAACGTCATTTCTATTACGTTCTGGTCGGATAAATACATTCTTAATAAGTTTCTATTTTTAAGCAATTATAAATAAAAATTATAGATAAAAATCAATGAGCTGATGAATGATGAATAAGTATTGAAATTCGCGGAAACAACATTACTTTCCAGTTTATCTGATATCAGTATTTCTGAAAAGGCACAATTTAATACCGAAATAGGTGTTTAAAACAATTATAAAAATCTATCAACAGTATGAATACAAATAATTTTGTATAGGGCCATTTAGAGTGCTACAATCACTGATATAAATGAACTGCTTCGTATACACCATTTCTGTAATCATATTCTAGCTTTACATTGAACTGTTTTTGCAAAAAGTTTATATTAATTAGATATTTCAAAAATACAGTGTATATATCGATAAGGATCCGAAAAACATATAGAGATCAGTTATTGAGTGAATACTAATACTTCCGTAACTCACTGTACATATCGAAATTAAAAATCTGCGTGTTTCTTTATACCTCCCACTATTTTTTAAGTAATTTTAAACCTATTTCACCCCTTAAACGACACTATCTTTTGCGTTTAATTGTAATTATGTGTGCTTTTATCTAAAGCTCCTCTTAGAAACCCCAACACACTTTCTTGATATTTTATTTGATCGTGAATCCAAGAAAATTCAACATTGAGTTTCTACAAAGAGATCAAAGACGTACTTCGACACAACGTGACGAATGGAAAGCACAGCTTCAGGGAAAGTTATGCGCTCCGTTAGGTGAAACTTATGTAGAAAGGTGTCCATTGTTCGATGAGAATTTAATTTTCATTCTTTCGGATGCACGATGAACAATCCACGGTTCTGTTCGCGGGAAAGAGAATGCGTCCCTGCGAATGAATCTCCATGCTGATTGCGATCGAAAAGGAAACTCCGCTCGATGCAAATCTTTTTCTAAGTATGAATAATAGAATCTTTAAAAATGCGACAATCTCGTTGACCTAATATCCACTCCAATCGTTAGTTACGTTAATTTATCTTCGATTTTTTTAACAGCGAATACCGTAAGCGCTTGTACGAAACTGTTTATACTTTCGGTTGCATAGGTTTACTAATTACGAAAAAAAAAAAAAATATACATGCCGAATTGAGTAATCTCCTCCTTTTCGAAGTCGGTTAAAAAAGAAAATTCTATGTAGATTCTTCAAGAATTTAAAAAAATAATTTTCTGTGTAATAGTAATGCAGAGTAGTTATTCCATCCGTTGTTTTTTTGTGGAAGTAGATACACCTAGATTATTTATCTTTAAATATTTTGCATGATAATTATTACCGATTATTAGACCACGGATTTTTATGCATTTATAGGAAATTTGAATGTGCAAGAAACTACGAGATGTACACAGTATGCAAAATGATTGAAAGTATAAAAAGTGATTGAAAGTAAAGTTCACAATATTTGCAAAGTAAAGTCTACTTAGGTTCAATTTTTGAAGGTATATTTTCAAAGATTTATTCACATAAAAATCCGCGGTCCGATTGCTCTTGTACATTTATATCTAACGAGATATTAACTACTTCCTAGCTTTTAGGATGCAACTTATTTTTAATGTCTGATATAAATATTGTTAAATTACTCGATCGAATTCCTATTATTACTTCAATACTCTTCATGTTTTTATTGCTGTTAACACGTTCAAGGTCATTATTTTGAACACTTGTCGCAGCAGTAAGTACGCAAATAAGGATATCAATGAAATATTCGAAGAGTGCCTTGAAACAATTTATTTTCTATTACAGTAAGCCTGTGTAACCTCGAATGATCTTCAACTACAGGTCATTCTATTCGTCTTGAAACGATCTATCAGAATGTGTACAAGAAAATATATCCATACTATTTAAAAAAACAAAGTCGATCGTCATATCTCCTCAACGCTTCCACCGGTAAAAAAGTTATTTGCACCGCGTTACGTCGCCCTCGAAATCAAATAACACTTGTCCGACACTTCTTTTTCTAACGCTAAAAGTAAGCGAATTGTTCAGGTGTCCTGTTTTAAATGCTTCACCCTGTATACTTCAAGCTGCTGTACGGTTGGAGAAAAATCGATATAGTGTATCGGAGTACGTGTTTCTAGACTCTTCTTGCCAATTATTAGGAAACGTTGCAATTAACGTTCCTTGAACAAAAGATTCCAAAGGAACGGTTCATAACAAACGAATGGCGGATCGCGGGACAATGTAAGAGTGCACAGTTACGGTTCATGAAATATATTTCTCAGTTGCGCGTAGAAAAAAGCTCGGTGTTGCTAGGAAATTGCGAGTTCATCGAAGGGGACATCCTGCAATGCACGTGATAAAGGTGGCCACGCCCTATGAATCTAAATCTTCACGTTTTTAAAAGAGTCTTGCCACGTAACTGCCCACGCAACCAACATCCAGCCATGTGACTTCATCAGAAACATTCAAGAATCAAACTCTCCTGATTATTTTATTCAATGGGAATAATGAAATAAAAGTCTACCACTCTTATAGGGGTGTTATTTTTAGTTAGGAAAGATTAGTATAAGATTTTCTAAAGCAACACTTCGATTTAAAAAAAATGTAATATATAAATACGTTTATTAACAGAACGCTACAATCACCACGCCATGGCAGCAAAACTGATCTTTCGATTGTTCTGCATTCAATCGTTTTAGGGAATCGCGTATGGGAGTAACCCCATCACATTACCAGACACGCGAGTTGATTCGAATACATTAGAAAAAATATTCAAGTAACTCATTGAATAGTACACACAGTACCAATTGATCAATCCAGCCATGTGACTTTATCAGAAACATTCAAGAGTCAAACGCTCCTGAATATTTTATTCAATGGGAATAATGAAATAAACGTCTACCACTTTTATAACGGTGTTATTTTTAGTCAGGAAAGATTAGTATAAGATTTTCTAAAGCAACACTTGGATTTTATTAAAAATATTCAAGTAACTCATTGAATAGTACACACAGTACCAATTGATCTATCTGTTACGTGCCGACATTTTCATTATTTTTATTTGTCTTGATTTCGTCGGCAGGAATGTGTTCGAGATGGTTTATCATCCCGAATTCGTTCTAATCGAACGCGAACCTAGCCTTTGACGGTAGTTTGGTAAATTCGTTTGAGAAAGAATACACATTCCCTCCTTGAAATCAACGTCGTCACGCCACTTTCACCCTGCTGGCAACGCCGCGCCGCGGAAAGATCATTGTAAAATAATAATTGCGTTGCTTGTTACGAATGAAATGCGTAAAATCGTGTAATGTAACAGCGTCGTATATATATATGTAATTGTTGGAATGATAAACACATCGAATATTACCATCGCGTTCGAGTTTACAGTTACGGTTATCATTGGAAGGACACGTAAATATTGCGTGTTAAAATTAAACGTTCATTCCGCTTCGTACATTGAAACCATAGCGTGAAATTGCCGCGTGCTTCGTCCTCGCGCAATGTTGTCGCCGCGCGAGCCGAGCCACTTGGTGGCCGCGAGACGCGAGACGAGGTACAACTCGTAAACACCAAATTCTCGCGTGTACCGAGTCGCGAAATTTCGAGGATTTTTTCTATGAACTAGCGACGATCACGTGGTTCGAAGATCCTTTGTCTCCAAAGCTTCTAGAACGTTCTTCCACTCCCATCTCATCACTTCTTCTCGTACAGTCGCGGTGAGCGCGAGTAAGTCCGAGCGAGCCGTATAAGAGTTACAGTGCGTACCCATTAGTATCGTAATACGAAGTAAGCGGTAGGCAAAACTCGGGTCGTTTGTTAAATCGGTTTTATATATTAACTTCATATTTAATTTATTTAGTTAGTTTTATTTCCTTTCGTTATTTCCGTTATTAGAGTTTCGCGTTTAATTAATCCCTAATCGTCTTGAAATCATCTTCGCGTGTGGTGTGCTTCTCTTTTCAACAGTTTTCAACGGTTTTCCGAGTAAATCGCTGCATTGTAAGAAGGAAGGAAGCCTAGCTCGAACCATTCGAATTACGATTAGTTACACAAAAGAAAATGATTGGTGAGTTGTTTCCTCTAATACAATATATATTATGTATAAACACTCTGATTGTGATCACTGGGATATCAATAAATGAAATACTTTATTTCCGGGGTAACCCTAAATTGGTATCCTAGGTATTTTATATCGATTCGTTTTGTACTGAATATTCACATGTGTATATTTTCTCCGACAATTTGATATGTTCATTAATGTACGGATGAAGCGAGAGTGAAAGCGTGTATATAACATTTCAATAACCAAATGTATATTTCACTTACGGTCTTAATGCGTTCAAAATTATAATTTCAAGTTCAATATTGAGATCTAAATTGTTCAAATCGCATCTTGGAAAATGGAATTGTATAAAAGAACAAATGAATAATATTGGAATTTTGTGAATGTAACAATATGGAATCAACGAAATAAGGAGTCAAACTTTATTACAGGAATACTATTAAACTAGGAGACGTTTTAATTGCGCCCGCTCTCATTCGCGATAATTTCGTACACTAATGACTATTCAATTAATTTACGGAATTGGAAATAGCCGCAGAACACGGTGCAATGTTAATCGCGTCAACTTTCAATTATTTCGTGAACATATGGTCCTAATGTTTCGCTATGAAAATACTAATATTTAATTTTATTTCTTGTTTCATTCCAATTCTAAAACGAAGTTTCAGTTTTTTGTTTTAATAAATTCTTAACAAAAATTGTCGGAACCGAATATACATATACGAAACAGCTTGCATTGGAATACTTTTCGATGCATCGTGTGCAGGATTACTTGGAAGAGTTCGAAAGAAAATCAAATTATTTTCCGAAAACTACGATAATTGGAACGAGATAAATCTGAAATAATTCTAGGTCGATTTTTCTCATCGGTGAATTAATTAAAATTTCTTACTCCAGGCTCGAGTTATTTTCCGTACTCCGTTGAGCAACTTGATCGCGTTATCGCGAAGACGAAGTCTCTACTTCAACGTATTAACTTCCGTGGGATCTAATTATGTTAAGTGTTGTTCATTAAACGAGCGATTTAAGCGTGGAAATTTTAATTCTGCCGAGAATTGTTTTCCGCCCGTTACACAGACGGTAATTAATTTCTCGATGGAAAGTAAACTTATCGCGAGAGAAGTTCCTTAACACTTAGAATTAGCATTTAGAATGGATTTGTTGTTCTTCCATATATAAACATATCGTAAAATGAGAAAGTAGCCCATGCTATCGTTTTCTACTTATATAGAACAAGGTAAAGTTGTTTATATTATTCGATCAATATTCAGCCATACCAAGATTATAAACAATCCTTATAATAAGAAATATTAGGGTTAGTAAACTTTGGACTACGAACACTTTTAGTTATCAGAAGAACGCAGTTAAAAATATTCCCATTTTCGTTAATTGGGTTATTTATTATTCAAACTAGGCGTATTATTGTGATTAATATTAAACGTACCGACACTTGAAATATATCTACCTTATTAAATAAATGTTGATTTTTAGAGAAAAATTCTAAATTTTTTAAAGGAAATAATTTGCAAGATATTCATTTTTCTAAATAAAATTATAAATTGCTTACACACAGGACCAATGTACTAAATATAACGAGAATTATTCACTCCTTGTCGTACTTGAATTTTTCTAAGCTCTGATTTTCACTTCCTAACTCCCAATATAGGACTGTGTTTCTATTTCGTTCAACAATAGAGAACTCAACTTGTGAATCTCCAATAAGAGTTCGTTCTGAACCGTGATTCTTATTAATATTTAATCGAGGACTGAATGTCAATATATGCATTGTAAATATTCAATTAATTCGGAGATGTATATATTCAATGCATTTTAAAGTTTTAGATTATTATACCAACGTTTTTCGAGAAAGTAATATTTCCGAACACGAAAAGTTGAGAATAAGATATTTTTCTGTATTTTAATATGTATTGATTGCAACAATTAAAACTTAATAATTCCGACATAATTAAACATTTGTGAGATATTCAGCATCTTTCAGTGTTCGATTAAACATTAATAACAATAATGGTTCAGAAGTATTCATTCGAGACATTAATCGTGAGAAATTTGTCGTTCGTTTAGTTATATAGAGAACTCATTTTGTGAATCTCCAATAAGAGTCCGTTCTGTGTATGAGTTGCATCATATGGAACCCGATCAGGTTGTTCAAGTGCTCGCGCCGAAATCATACCATCAAGCCATAACTTGAAAAGTATATCTGAGCCTCGAACTAAGAATCCATTTACAGAATTGCAGAAAAATACGTAAATTTCGTACGGTGTCAAATGATCCCTCGTGGCACGTAAGGTATCCAAAAAAATTTTCTCTGTAAAAATATATGTGTAGAGTGTAAAGTGTAAAGTGCAAAAGTGTAAAGTGTAAAGTGAGATTAGATTTAGATTAGCAGAAATATAATTAGTTTTCAGTATTGTTAATTTTAGATAGAAACTAAGATAAATTTTCATGTTTGCGTGTATCGCATTCCAACTACGATTGTGTGTATTCAATAATTTCTTTTCATATCTTGACCGAAGAGTAATGTCATGTAATATACAGGGAGTTTTGTAATATGCGTGACCTTTTTTCAGGATCAAGTATTCACACCAGTATAAATCGAAAAGTCGTGAATAACGATTCACTTTTCGTCGAATAAAGTCGTCGTTCGTTGTTCACGAATAAATCTTAGAAACTTATTTGTTACTCACAGACGAACCTTGAAAGTTTATTCGTTATTAACGAAATTTTAGGAACTTATTTATTACTCACGGATGAACCGTCAAAGTTTATTCGTCATTTGCGAATAGCGAGACTAAAGCCAGAAATTTATTCGCGAATAACGATTCACTTTTCGTCGAATAAAGTCGTCGTTTGTTGTTCACGAATAAATCTTAGAAACTTATTTGTTACTCACAGACGAACCTTGAAAGTTTATTCGTTATTAACGAATAAATCTTAGAAATTGATTTGTTATTTAAAATAAAGCTTGTTCAACCATGCTGTACAAACATATGTGTGTCATATACCTATGAACATTCCACATTCGCATAATGTAAACGGCACGGTAACAAGTAGGTACAAGAATACAATACATGTCTGGTTTTCGGTTGTCACCGTCTCATACCGTGCGCCATCGTAATAAAGTTTATCTAAGGAATTCTGACGGACGTTATGCGGCCGGCGAATAAATAAGAAATCGCTGAGAAATTCCGGAAAAGCGAAGGTGGAGAGGTAAATAGAAGGTAGGCGAGGCAAGACTAGGGAAAGAGAGGATAACGCATTTTCCACACCTCGAAAGGCAGCTTATGCGCGGGAAGCTCGTGTCTGCATTATGCACTTCCAACCAACAGCTCCTGGTAGCATTAATATTTCCAGTGTGAAATATGCGACGACTTCGTATAACTTTGACTAAAAATTCCGAGAGTCTGGACCGGAAATTAAACAGTACGACACTATGTCATATTCACATTCTCATGTTTGTGAACAAATTTTCCAAGAGATATTACAGTAATAATTTCCCAATTTAATTTGGATCTAAATAAATTTTTTTTTATTACATATTTAATGTCGGATCAACCTTTTGTTATTAGCGACAGTTTCTCATGAGGTTTTCTCCAATGTTAGATATTGGTCCATATACATATGTGCATCTTTAAGTAGCTGGATTATTTTGTTTGAGTTTTCTTTTGGGCTCCACGCTTCCTTTAAACTAGTGGGTAGTTCGTATTGTATGCCGAGTGGTTCCGTATTTTTACACATAAATATTATGTGCTCTATTGTTAGAATATCGTTGCATGTACGGCATGCGAGTCTAATGGTCTTCTCAAGTAGGATTGTTTGTTTGGTTAAAAGACAATTTAGAAGTCGTAACAAACATCAGCATATTTTATATCTATATCCACATTTCAATTACTGTAATGGATCTTTTTGAGGAATTACAGTTCTAGGCAAAGCAGATTTTATGGAGTTATTATACAAGGTGGTTCGTTTAACTTGGTATGGATAAATATCTCATAAAAGTGTGAAATTACTAAGAAAATGTTTTCACAAAAATTGTTTGGTCAAAAGGTATAAATTATATGGAGCAAATAATTGTGTTGTAACTGAAGTAATGTGGGAAATTTAACAATCAAATGAGAGTAGAATGAGAACGAATCAGAACGGTTACTATGACATGGAACTTTTAATGAATTATTAATTTTATTTTAATTACTAAAAATAGATTAAATTATTGGCGTTGTAAACTTCAATTTTCTAAAGGACAATACCCAATCACATTTTGAAAATACAATATTCTCTGCAATTTCATTTCAAAAAATTACCATAATTATACCTCGACGAAATCGAACAATGCAACAAAATTATCCGTGACGTAAATTGTACGAGCATAGCAGAAGGCTTCTTAATGAAACGCGAATAATTTAGTTTGCACAAATTACAATGTATAATTCCTTCTGTAAATCGTATGCCACCAATATTTGTATTCGTTGCTCCGAATCGCGAATAAACGTCTTTCTGCTGCATCGCGCGATTTTTGTAACGAGAATGTAATAAAAAAATCGAACGACTTGAAGTCAAGAAAATGCATAACAAGGCAAACTTTCAAGGCGTTGCACCCGTGGGAACTTTAAGGGCGGGATTTGCATTAATTAAGAATTGAGTTTCTGTTGATTCGTAGATTGTCGGAAAAAAGAAAAAGTACAGTGACATGCAATTCCGTTGAATGAAATTAGGACGCAACTTCTCTGCAACAATATTGTTACAACACGCAAATTACACGACGGATACACGTTGGTAATGGCTTTTACAACAATGGCAAAGTAGGGCATTCGTAAGGAAACTTTTGCGTGGTTGAAAATATTCAATACGCGAATTTTCAGTTCCTCCTTCCCGATGGAAAGTAGAAACTACTTGGCTGCGAATGGTCTTCTATGGAACAGATAGATGAAATTAATGACAAATAAAACACAGATTGATTAATTTGTCGTAATGTCGACTTTCTGAAATAACGTAACGCTTTTCTAGCTGGCTTTGAATCGAGATGGACTCGTCATTAAACGTAGGTGTGTCCACGACATGCTGCCTGGTCGATAAAGCGTCCACGGCTATTCGTTTCCGCATTGTCGATTGCAAAATACATTGTACATCAGGCGAATTTAGCGCATGCGAACTTGTATGTGCAACTGTTACATCCCACTTCCTTTATAGTCGAAAATTTGACGGCTGACTGTGTCCTGAACTTACTAAAACCTAGTACGATACTTTGAGATAGTAAGTTTACTATTGCGCCGATTCCTCCTCTTGGATCCCTTAAAGGCGATTAGACAATCGAAGAACTGCTTCAAAATAAAACCTTCCGGAATTATTTTAGAGAAAATTAATACAAGTCTCGACTTTTCTTTTTGCGTAACGTTTGCAACCATCTTAAAGATTAAGAGATTATTGCTTTAGTTTTATGCATAGAGACGTTATATTTCAAAATTAAGACGTACGCGTGATCTTGTGAGAAAATTAAAATTATTTGGTAAAATATCGGTATATTAGCATCTAACCTGAAAGTTACGTGGGCCTATAGAGGCTTGATTAACATGAATTAAAAGTTACGTTTGTTATTAATTTATATTTGATATTTAATTTATTCTATTAGGACTTTCTAGGATATGATTTCTTCGCAACTTTGATACGTTTAGATATTGATCTGCATATTTATTTCTTAAACAGTAAATAATTTTGTTACACTAACAAATGGCTTTCTTCCACTATTTCTCACCAGATTTAATATATTACCGTAATGTTTAATGAAAACAGCCTAAGCTGGGCTCGAAGAGTCCAAACAATATTTGCGTTGTTCATTGCCAGTGCCCTGTTTACATGCTAATATGACGATTGCGACTCTCTACTTTCATTAGCTAATTAAACTGCTGTTTACCTTTTAATTGTGATCGAAGGTTTCTCTTCGCTTCGTCGACGTTTCAAATCCTCGATACTACAAACTATAACGACACGAAGCTGCTCTCATAGTTTAACGTAGCCACTGATGCACTCACTTATTCGTAGAATCAACTGATTTAAAACTGCCACGAGGAACGACTATTAGTCTTTGGAATAAATATTTATTTTCTAGTAAGCCCAAACTAGTCACTGCTGGAATGCCAATTATCGATTCTTAATTATCACTTCCAAGAACATATCACGCTCACGATGACGCAGTGAACAGCCACGTAATGCATTTTGATGCGACTGCAGTCTTGATTCACTCTCGTTATTCAGCGCATAATTATCATGCCGCGGTATGCCGAGCGCGATTGTTTTCCACGCGAAGAAAATCGAATTCCTTTGATGTTCAGTCAAGTGTTAAAATTCTTTAATTGACGATTCAACCGGCGAATGGAAAGCAATGAAACGTTGTCAGGACAGTTGATCGTAATTTTGTCGAGAAAGGCTGAGAATAAAAGAATAATTATAGATAATTTATACGCAAAATATTATTGACAAATTGCAGATAATTGATCTATATATCATTGAAATACAAATTATTTGAGTTTATATCGTTACACTGTTATAGAAATATTGGTGACATAAATTCCATAAAAAAATGTTAGAAAAATAAATAAAATTTATGTTTAGTCATTCATTTTGTACGCCTTTCAATGATAAAGTAATTGAAATTTCAATGTTTATAAAATATTGTTGTATTTTAATATATCTTTTCCTAGGAATAAATACTCGTTATACTCTTTAATATCCAAACTATTGAAGAATACATTTATCTAACCATAAAAGGTAAATAAAGCTTTATATGTCATCATTCATTTTGTATGGCTTTCAATGATAATCTAATTGAATTTTCAATGTTTGTAAAATATTGTTGTATTTTAATTCAATAATATAATATAATATTAATATATCTTTTCCTAGGAATAAATACTCGTTATATTTTTTAATGTATCCAAACTATTGAATAATATTGTTTTACACGTTTTTAATTTTAATAAGCGATTGTAATATTTTAATACGGTTGGAAATAATATTTATTATGATATTCATTACGTATATGCGAAGAGAGATTTAAATAGCACGTAGTTACAATAACGTTTCTTCTATTAATTCTCTTCAACATTAATTCTCTAAATAATTTAAAATCAGAAACAAAGTAAATGCTTCCAAATTATTTCAATTACATTTACTTAATTATTATAGGACGTTCAATATGGAATTTTAATCCTTGACCAAACAGATTTAAGTATTCTTCACGATACATATGTTATCATTTTCTAACCTTCATTTTCTGTGTACTTCTATATTTCTTTATAAATCGCATCTCTAGTTTTCTGGCAGTAACGAGTCTTCAAATGCATCTTTCAATGTTTACGCAGATTAGTCGATCCATGAGACCGATAATCCTCGGTTGTTTGGAATGCGGCTTCCATTATTTGCTCAATGAATCAACGTCGATTTTGAGCGCAGCAATGATTAACAACGTTGTTTCGCGTCACTACGCGTGGGATTATTTCTAGCGCGATTGAGAATTCAACAAACTGGTTGATGGACCGATGACGACCGATATTATCGTGGAAAATCCATCAAAAGACCAATCTACCGTATGTTTAGGATCAATACTATCGTCGATATTCAGCTAACAAAATTTGCATCCGATGTTTACTCTCCGCGACACAATCTCGAGCGAACCACCAATTTTTATAAAAAATTCCATTTTCCGTTGACAATTATAAATTCTAAAATTTGTATCTGCATTTATATAGCGCTTTTATTATTATCTAAAATTTGTACGTGAAAGGAAGATTTTTTTACATTTTTGTCGCACGTTATCTATTAACAAATTTTAATTTCCGCTCATGTTATTTTCTATAATTTATAGGTGGAAATAAGTCGTTTAAATGTCTGCCGTCAATTACTAATTCTGCAATTATAACCCCTTTTAATGTCACTGTTACATTATTTAGTAAAATTTCTAGACAGAAAGAAGTCCCTTCTTTTAATTTTTCGTTCTTTTCGACATTGTCCAATTCCAAATTTTAATTTCCAAATATTCAATTTAACAGAATTTCAGTTGAAATGATTTTGGTTCAATTGAATTTTCCTAGTCGCTGATTTTCGTGATTTTATCATCGTCTTTAGAACCACCCAATTTCATTTATCGTTCTTATTGTTTGATCCTTGATATCCTTTTGATACAGCTTCGATATTTGTTCACTTTCATGACTCGCGGTTGAAGATCACCGAGGTCATTTTTACTCAACTGTGAAGAGAGCAACGCGAGAGTTTCAAGTGGGTCCTTGCGGCAGCAAGGAAGGACACCGACTGAAAGGAAGGCTTGCAACAGATGCATAGTACTGTTGGTCATCGGGGCATGACATCGGGGCAGGTGAGTTCGAATTTCGTTAAGCTCAGGGCCGTACCTTCCGTTCGAAGGACAAAGGATGAGTAAGAACGAGCATGCAATTCCACCAATGAATATTGAGAGTAAAATGAAACTAAAAATAAATGTGATAAATGAAACTTGAACCTTGAAAATAAAACCAATAATTGGAAAAGTATAGAAAAATTTGAAATGCAAATTGGGGTTTAAAAATGTAGATATCAAGTTAAAATGGAAATTAAAATTGACGAGCGCATCGAAAAATATGGCATATGCAAATAAGACCCTAAAATTCGAAATATACCGTTACAATAAAAATAATACTAGGAAAGGTATCGAAATATTTGAAGTGTAAATTTCACCTCGAAATTTTAACTATGACCTTAAGATGAAAATAAAAATGGGGAGAATATCGGAAAATTTAAAATACTAAATGTATACTATAATGGCAAACTTGAAGTTAATATAAAAGTCAGAAGCATGTCGAACAATTTGAAGTACAAAGTAGACATTAAAATGATAATTACGAAATTGAAATGAAAATAGAAATGGGCTATACGTTGAAAATTTCGAAGTTCAAATTACATCTGAAAATGGGAAACAAAATTAAAATTAAAATAAAAGTAAAATGGGTCGTTTATCGAAAATGTCAAACTTCTAATTATATGTAAAAATGGGAAACAAAATTGAAATTAAGGTGAAAGTAAAATGGAAAAGGAATTGTAAAATATGAGGTACAATTTGAACATTCTAATGGTAAATAACACCATTACATCACATCTTTATTTACCAATCACATTGGTAAATAAAGCTAGAAATATAATAGAATAAGGAACAAAAACTTTGAAGTGTAGACTATAGTGTTGACTTCGAAATGAGAAACGAAGTTAAAATTCAGAAAGCTTAGTGTCAAAATTGAAACTAACATAAATTATACAGAAACATAAATATTGTTAATACTAAATACTCTCAATTTCATTAAAATATCTTGTTACAAAAGAATTCCATAAATTCTATCACTATTAACAAATTCGTATTTTAACCTAACAGAGCTACCGATTACAATACAATAAAAACTTCTTTCTATCTATGTATCTGTTCAATAAAAAAAAAAAAACAAGAAACGTGTAAAACATATCTGATTGTTATGAATGAAGTAAATATTTTCCAAATTTGCCATTTTTCACTATTATTGAAGGATTTGAATACCAATAAAATACCGTGGGAAATATTTCTCATTCTAACGCATACAACAATTTGCTTCTTTCTATGGATCACAATTTGACAATCACTGTATACAAAAATCCTTTACAATTATTTAGAATTTGACTGTACTAAACTTTGAGAACATTTATTCCTTTTAAATAAATTTAATGTTGTCTACAGTTTACTATTTATTAATTGGAGACTTTAGAAGACAGAATAAGATACAAATCAAACAAATATGTTTATATTTATTTCACTTCAATCATTAATTTCGCTGAATGTTGGAGACTGGTTTAAACTGTGCTTCGGACAAATAATAAAAGTAATTCGTTCGCGTTACTTATTACATAGGAAAGAAAACATAAACCCAAAGATTGAAAAAGTTTCAAATAAATCATATGCAAGAGCCGCGTTTTTTTAATTAAAAATTCATGGTGCTAAAATTTAAATCCATAAGAGATTACTATGAGCTATTCATTGGTCGGCAAAGCTTTTGCTTTGGCACTGTTCCACAAAGGATTAACAAAAATTGGTACAAATTTGCGTGTTACGTCGTTTACTCAGACAGAGTGGATCATCGAAAAGCGGATGAAAGAGCCGTGAAGGCCACCTGCTTTTTAGTTTGCTATATACTGAGTGACTCGGAAGAACTCCCCGTCTATCTGACAAACTTACAGGACTTTAATTTATCACGATTACTATATATCTCCAGATAACAGCGGTGGAAGTTTGTTGGGAAGTTCCTACGTCCTTCGAGAGCCATATAATCGACGCTGGAAAGATCTACAAGCGATCAAGGCAACGCGAAAACGAGAAAATCAAGTTCCCATCGCGTGCGCGAATTCTCAACGTGTTTTATCAACCTCGTTAACAGCGATCGGGAAACGGCGGCGGGCTCTTGGACGAGTTCACGGACGAAAGGTAAAACATTCCAACAGAATTTTTATAAACGAAGAGTTTGTTACAAGAGGGAAGTATTACGCGAATCCCATTTTCACTTAAGCGCTATTCGGATACTGTAATTTTAATAAACTCAAAGTGTATTGGACTTGCAGGCTACCTTCGATATTCTTTGACCGAAAACAGATTTTTTGATACATAAACGTTTTTAATTTATAGAATCATCTTCGGATGCAACTAAATTATTTAATCACGTACAATGAAGCCAAACAGCATTTAAAGAATTTTTTCTTTTACAATTATTTCAGCAGTGTTTATTGTTGAATATGCAGGTGAAAATGTATGCGGAGTTCGTTGTAAATACAATGTTCCGTGGTGCGGCATTTGTTCGTTGAGAACCCGCGAGCTCGTAACGAACAAATACTAAAAACGGCTTCTTAATAAAATTGTTAAATTTATTTTCCCCGATAGTTTCATTTTATGGATTCCATTGTAATCGAATCATTATTCTAAAATTTTTATTTCGAAAGTCTCAAAAGTTATTGGATTTGCAACTAATATTCCGTATTCATATACACGGAACCATTTTTTTTTTCAAATACATAAACGATTTCCATTTATAAAGTTATGCTCAAATGTATCAAAATTATTTAATCGTCTAAAGTTAAACAAAAACAGTTTTAATAATATGCAGTCCAAAAATAAATAGTAACGTTAGTAATACTATATGTAGGTTATATATAATACTATATATGTATACGTCAGTAATAATACGTATCAATTATAAATGAATGCTCCCATAATCTTACTTTTTCATAAAAAGACAAACATTAATTAATTGTTTATCCCATCTTTGTTGCATGCATTTTATTAACGTCGACAATTATTCGATATCACCTGGAAGATTCATATTCTACGTGCTTTTTAAAATAAAAATATCAAAATAATGACTCGATAGAAATTGATTATGTAGTAAGGAATCGAAGATTGCTTTATTTCGAATCTTTCTATTTTCTGTTTGTAAGCTTTATTGGTTTTATTAAAAAAGAAAAAAAAAATTCAATAACTTTATAATCGCATTTGTTCGTGTCACAAATTTTGGAGTGCATTTCGGACACCCGGTACGTTTATACCTGTACTACAGGTGCCGCCCTTTTCCGGACTGTTTTTCTCCTAGTCTGTCACAGGAAGAAGGGTGGACAAGACCCTCGTAACGGAAAGTTTCAGGCTGCACGCGTAATTGAATGCAGAATTTGAAAAGGACGGAAGACGAAAGATTATGGGAACGTGCTGTCGGGTTCTTCGCGATCTATAAATATAAATACATTCCAGCAATTTTATCGACTGGACGTCGCGTGAATGATGCCATGGATAAAACTGTCAGCTACAGATCTATCACTAACCCATTCGCTACCAATTTATTTTAGTTTCAGAATCCCCGTTTATTGCCTGCGAAAGTTGCAGGATATTCAAATAAATTTTTGTAACGGTACGGAATTTTTGGTCTTAGGATATTTGGTCCAAATCTTTGGTCCAAAAGATTTTTCTTTTGGAATTAGAAAAATCTTTCGTTTACATTCCGGACACTTTAAATATATACAGTGGGTGGAGAAAGTACAGAAAGTATGTGCTTATTCGTACACCGATCCATTTCCAAAAATACTATGTGAAACTGTAATTTATTAACATTTTCTTTTTTATAAACAACGATTTTCTACATATTCTTGAAAATGTCTAGGATAAGTACAGTACAAAAACAAATTAGTTATTTATACAGGTTGCGAAATTAAGAAAAAATAATAAATCGATAGAAATATAGAAGCAATAAGTATTCGTACGATTGTTAAATTTTTAAAACTTCATGAAAAAAAAAAGAAAGAAATTTACATTAATTTGTAAACGATACGAATACTTCGTGGAATTTTCCTTTTAATTTTGGAGTAACTTACATACGGAAATTTTGTATACTTTTCATGAACTGTATATGTGTAATTTTTAATGGCTTAGCATTTATCAAAACAATGTAGGAATTAAAATAACTATGATATTGAACAATTAAAGCGTATACTTTGCGAGTTAGCTTTAGAAACGTATACGTTATTTCCAACGGTGACCGTAATTCAAGTTGTAATGTACTCGGTTCTTAAATCGCTGCGTACTTTTTGAGTGTATGTTCGAACCCCTGATTGTTATTTTTTTTTTTCGTTAATCATATATCTTTTAATTATTAACGATATTGATTTCCAAGTTACTTATCTTTAATTTTGTAGTGGAAATACAGTAGACATTGTGTAGGATATCCATAATGTTCATCGCTGTTCTTGTTGATTACAGCTTTCACTTGTTTAAATAATAGTGTATGTATGTATGTATGTATGTATGTATGTATGTATGTATGTATGTATTTGCAAGAGTTTTGCATGGCCCCACTTCCGTTTACAAATTCCTTACACCTTATTCTTATTCCAACCTTAAATTACCCTTATCGTACCCATTTAAATAATAGCGAAATAATAATATAATGCAGGATAATATATTAGGTTGTCCCAAAAGTGTCCTTCACTTTATTAATAAGTAATACATGGACAATATTTTATGTTTTATGTTACATTACCGAATTGAGCACGATTCATTTTGCTCCATTACTGTTACAACATGAACATCTATGAAATTAGATTGTCTATTTATATAAACACGACCACATCAAATAATTGAGTGCAACTCGCGAAAGAAACTTTTGGGACAACCTAATAGTATGAGTAGTGTAGGATAGATAGTACAACTGGTTTGAGGTAAGGCGTGCGAAACAGAATAAACTGTAAGTTGAAATGTGGTGTTTGAATTATGATATGTTTGTCGCGTGCCGTAAGAGAGCGTCATCTTATGTGTTCCGTACAATTTTACACATCCTGTGTCGAATGGTTTAGCGACAATTGCCCGAAATCACTCGAAGCGATCAGTTATGTTATATTCACAATAAAGGAATATTAATTACTTTGAGAATTATGTTACTTACTTAATTTTTGGTTTGTATTGGTCTCACAATAATACTAATCTTAGAAATATATTATTAATATTTATTTATTAAATCATACAATTCAGAATGTATCCATAACATAAGGGAAAATGAATTATATCACAAAAGAACAGAGAGTTTTCTTAGAAATATAAAATAATATTAAGATGAACACGCTTCCACTGCGAGATCATCCTGAATACGTGCCGGAAAATTCGGAACTAAAAAAAAAAACACATCCGGGCCCTTTCCCATAAACGCCTTCTAGAGAATAGTGGCGCGAAACTTTAAATTTACTTTACTTCTCTAACAAATAATAATAATAATAATAATAAAATAATATTAATATCTGTTGTCTCAAAGAGGCTAAAAATCCTGTATATCATAACAATAAGTTCTAAGATATCAACATTTACGACCTTTGGATATTCGTATAACCTACGTATAAGTAAGACAACTACGCCATATGTTGAAAACGAAAAGGATCTTTATTTTGCTTCGTTTTTGCTTTGCTTTGCTTTTCCATTTGGTGTTACATTTTGGACTTCATTAGCATTATTAACTTGACGATAAATCGGTCACTACACGTGAATACACTCTTCTAGCCCGATGTCCTCGATATAACTTATAAGAATCCCTACTAACCTGAATAAACCTCCTTATAATATGCACCTAGCCAAGGACGAGTCTAGAAAAAATCTATAAAGTACCATCATGTAGGATACGTTTCCAAAGAGAAGTTATAATGTTTATAGTCACCTCATCAATGTTGCTACTCAATGTAACATCTTCGAAGGGCGGTAGAAGACGTTTGCATGTTAATTTTTGCGACGAAGCAGCAAGCAACGAATATAACTCTGCCTCTGGGGGCGCGGTTCATACATCGCTCGTTGTTTATTGCGCGTTAAAACGTCGCTATTCGTTTCGGAACGGACAACCATTTCCTATTTCATGACGTCTCGCAGTGGAAAGAATTGCGAGAAAAGCCAGTCGTAAAGACCAATCGTAAAACGCAGCTAGTACATGTTATTTCTGGAGGAATATTCCCTCAGTATCAATCGAAAAGTAAAGAGGCAGGACGTGGTGTTCGTGCCGTTGATACCATACTGTTTAAAATTGATACTCTCGTTGCACTGAACTGATCCATGTGATATCTGGGAATTATTTGAGACACTTTTTGGTATTTCACACTTCCAAGGCTTTCTATTTATGTTATTATGTGAACATTGTGATATGTTCTTGTAAGTACAGTACAGTCTCCATAAATGCACAAATTTCTCTACGATAAATGGACAGAAACCATCTCCACCACTGGAGGGTATACCCACCCCATGATGGGTCGCGGAGTTCGATCGCCGAGCAGTGCAACATGATCTGGGATCGGATATGTCGGTGAGACATATTGTACGAGTATCTACATACAGTGGGTGTAGAAAGTATTCGTACATTGATCAATTTCCAAAGAACCTGTGTAAAATTGTAATTTATTAACTTATTTTTTATAAACAATGACATTCAACATATCTCGCATATCTACATATTCTCGGAAATCTCGGAAATAGATAGATTACAAAAAAAAAATAGCTATTTATTTTAAGTTGCGAAATTAACAAGAAAAGCAATTAATCGATAGAAATGTTGAAGCAATAAGTATTCGCACAACTGTTTAAAAGTACTTCTCTGGAAATTTGATGTTTTCTAATTCACACGTAGCAATAAACTAATGTGTTTACGTTACAAACTCTATCGTAAATGGTTCGTCATAAGAATCGTACAAATACTTATTGCTTCTATACTTTTACCCACTTTTCGCATTTTAAGATTGAAAATCTTTTTATTTTCGAACAGCCGAAATTCATGTCACGTTATATGATGAAAAATGCTGTGAGGCGATGAAATGGGTGGGTAGTAACAGAATAAATATGTCCCGTGATTGGAACAATTAAAACTTAATCCGAAATAATTAAACGTTTATGATACATACAGTATCATTCAGTGTTCAATTAAATATTAATAACAATTACGGTTAGGAATAAATATTCATTCGGGACATTGACCGTGAGAAATTTGTCAGTATTTCAATATCTGCTGATTGCACCAACTAAATATTAATTTGTGACAATAGTTAAATTAATTATTAACAATACATATTATTTAAACAATGATGGGGAATATGATTATGCTGTGGTATTAATGTTTCGCGAATTATTTTCTCGATGGATCCAACGAGCCTTCGAATCGACATGTCACGACATGTCACGCGGTTGTTGCTCGCCCTTCCCCTTCTCTACTTCGAGAGGCACAAACAATCTACGACGCACGACCGCGCTCAAGCAGGTATGCGTGGGGCGAGAGCTCATTCATCGTTGATCCTTCGTTCGATATAGATCTCGCGATCGCGCGTCCGCGTCTCGCGTCCCTCCTATTTGTAGTTTCCCTTAGTATCTTAGTTTGGTTTGGTTAGTTTTAAGATTGCGTGTACGAGTGTCTCCTCTGCCAAGTAATTATTAATCAACTTGTTTTGTTTGTTCGTAAGTCCATATTGGGCTCGTAACATCGTGATCCACTTCGGTCGCTATTGCTTCATGTGATAAGTGTAGTGATCAACCATGTGACTGGCCGAGATCGGTTGCCGTCCTCTAGTGGGTCTGATTTGAGACAGGGTCAATCGACACCTCCGAGGAATCTTCTAGTCTCTGTACGCGTCAGGCGAAATCCAGGCTCCCGGCGCAGCGCAGCTCAAAAGAGCAGTCAGACGGATGCAAGTCGTGTCCTGGCCTCCTGACGTTGTGCAGAGAGTAGAACTCTGTTTCGGGACTCTACGACCGTCAGACATACCTGGTGTCGCCAGGGCAGGGCAACCTGACGCGGTGCTACCTACGTCGTACACTGTAAGGTCGGATCCGGGCTCTCGGCAACAGGTATGCAGGGAGTAGAGTACTGGCGGAGACGTTGATCGTCTTTCTCTCTAATCAGACCCACTAGAGGAAACGGGACTGAATCTGTAAGTCCAGTTTCATGGTCGCGTCGTGTCGCGATTTAGCTTCACTCCTCTTAGTTCAAATAATTATTTGGCAGAGTTAGACTTAGACTTTGGAAATCAAAGGAAGTTTGCTTTCTTTGATTTCCATGGTTTCGTACTTAGTATTAAGCTCGTCAACTCTATGTAGAGTATACATTTACGTATGTATACTCTATGTAGAGGGAGATCGAAGGAACTTTGATTCCTTCTATCTCCGGGTCTCCAGTCGCAGCAACCTCCACGTGGTGAGACCTGGTAATCGATATTATTCGTGACGAACAATCATTCGTCGCGATGAAGTTGCGAGTTGGAAAGAGTGCTCTATACATAAATCTTGCGACACGTCGTGCTAATGGTTGATGTTAGCGTGGTTGCAACAGGCTTTCGAAATATTTTTTAGTACTGCAAAATTTTAATTTCTACATCTGCGACCAGCGACATGGTAGCAGAGATGCAAATTGGCCCTCAGGCCAAAATGAGTTTAACATGCTTGTTGTAAAACGTGGAGTAGGAATCGCAGTACAAAATAAAAGGGATGACTGCTAACACAAAAATAAAACAGAATATGTTCTGTAGAATCCTTCTATACGAAGTTTCGATTCTCGGAAAATTTATGATGAAAATTATTAGAAAGATGTAAGAGAAAGAGAAAGATAAAAAAAAGATGTATATATTTGGGAAGGCACTACTTTTCGAAGAGTATTTTAAAATATAATTAATATATAGTGGATATTTATGGAAATTTATGTTTTTGCAGATACAGATAAAGAAACGAAATTTAAAAGAACGTATACAGGGTGTATATATTTTAATAAAAGGAACGTATATTTCATGTATCATGTATTGCCATAAATGTATAAACACCCACAGTCTACTGATTAAATTTTCAGCAAACTTGTTCACTGGATAGTGATTACCTTCTGTATATTTTTACTTCTTCTTCAAAATTCCAAAAAGTGTATAAAGTAAAATAAATAATTCAATATTTCCTTTTCACAGTTACTGTTATAATTTTGTTATACACCACTATGATGACTGGACTATGTTATGTGATGACAGTGGAAAAATAAGATAAAATGAGAGTAACGTAACATTGCAATTAATGCTTCGAACACAGAACGAGACTGTTTCTGAGATCCGGATACAATAGGTAAGTTTTGAAACAGAATTAAAAATTATGATACCTCTCCGAATATCATGATTTCCTGATAAAAACGGTAAGTATCGAGCCAGAATAAAAATTATGATACCTTCTCGATCAACACGTTCTGCTAATACAAGAGGTAAGTATCTCTGGTATCAGGCGAACATGACATGAGAGGAGGTGGCACGAGGAATTCATGGTACGTATCGAAATTCTGAGGAAATTTTCAATTTGGTATCAGAACATGATATGCAAAGAGGTGGCACGAGAAATACCAGGTACGTATCGAGATTCTATGGAAGCTTTACATTTTAGTATCAGGAGAACATAATATGCGAGGAGGTGGCACGAGGAATTCATGGTACGTATCGAAATTCTGAGAAAATTCTGTTTTGGTATCAAGAGAACATGATATATGAAGAGTGGCACGAAGGAAATCTGGTACGTATCAAATATTAGGCAGACTTTTACTCCTGGTATCAGGACAACATGTTATGCGAAGAAGTGGCACGAAAGACTCATGGTACGTATCGGAATTCTGGCCGATTTTAAATTTTGGTATCAGGAGCACATGATATGCGAAGAGGTGGCACGTTTGC